AGTACCAACTGGGCGAGACGTCGTGGGAGTGGCGGTGGGACGCCAAGGTGGACGAGAAAAGGCACCGTCGCGAGGTCGTCCTGCAGACGCCCGAAGAGTTCAACGCCCGCAAGACCGTGTGCCGCCGCTGGCGCGCAGAGAACGACGTCGTCTTCGACGCCTACATGCGCCGTCTGAACGAGTACGGCATCTCCGACGCCGACAACACCGGCATGGTCATCGAGAGCAAAACGCCCAGGTATAACCCCGAAGGAGGCGGTTATGGCGAGGACGGCAAGAACAAGTACCCGGAATTGGATCCCCTGTTGGGATGGTAGGGGTGGAGGTGGAAGTAGCGGTGGAGGTCGAGAGCTGATGGAGGCTAGCAAGGGTGATATTATTTTCAGCCGAGTTCCGTTCCTGTACTACTATTATGGAAGGTGTTGAAGGAAGTGTTGGATAGTGATTGAACTCGTGGGTTTGGGTTGGTGGCTGGGTTGGGTTGGGGTGTTGATCCCAAGACAGACACATGCATACGTACGAGGTATATAGTCGCTCGATACCGTGTGCCAGAGGGCAGAGTTACTGTACAATGTATGTATGCTTACTCTACAGCCACGATGATGGTCTTCTTCTTCTCTCTGCTCTTTTTCCTCCCGCCTTCTCACGCCTGGTGATTTTTCAACTCTGCCTGTCAACAATTACGTTCTATCCCCGCGACTTCGAAACACCGAGGATAGAGCATAGGAACTATTGACCGAGTACGATTATTAGTATGGCATGAGGACCATGCGGTCGCGAGGATGGTAAGATACCAGTCACGGGATTTAAGGCTCTATAAGAAATAGACATTTTAAGAGAGAGAAAAAAGTTCCTAGCTGACAAACGTCGAGGATTGATCAACCAGGCTTCCATTTGTTTGTGTTGTGTGGAACACAGAAATTATGTTATCGACTTTATCGAAGAAGAAAAAAAGCTGTTTATGCAAAAACTTGGGAAAACCGCTTCCTCCCCCCTCTTCCCATATCGCGTATCGGGCCCCGGAGGGGGGGGGAGGGTTTTTCTCTCTCCCTCTTTTTCATGGGACCATCTCCGTCGTTACCACGTGCGCTTAGTAGTAGAACTTTGCCAGGTTAAGAAGCCATAGAAAATTAGAAAAAATAGCCCAACCCCTGTTTCCCCCAGTGTATAAGGAGGAATTTACAGCGCAGCGGCGAGACCCATGATGGCGAGGACACCGAGCTCGATCTTGGGGAGCGAGGCGGCGCCGGTGTACGTGGCCGGAGCGACGGGGAGGCTGCTCGACGAGTAAGGAGCATAGCCCCAGGTGCTGGTTGAGACGGCAGCGACAGGCACGCTGCTGGTGGTGGCCGGCGCAACGGGGACACTGCTGGTCGAGGACCAGTCAGCCCACGTGTGGGGAACAGAGGTCGTGGTAACGGCGGCGACGGGAACGCTGGAGGTCGTGGTCCAGTCGCCCCAGGTGTGGGTGCTGGTGGGGTCGACGACCTTGCTGGTGGTGGTCGACCAGTCTTCCCATCCGGTGCACAAGAGCGTATCCCAGACAGTCAGGGTGCTGGTGGTGCAGGTCTCCTTGTGGTGGGTGGTTGCGCACGAGACGGAGGTCGAGATGGTCGAGGTGCACACAGCGGGCGTGGTGGTGGTGGTCGTGGTGGTGGTGGTGGTCCAGTCGCCCCACGTGTGGGTGGTCTCGGGATCAACAGGAGCCTTGGTCGTGGTGGTGGTGGTAGTCCAGTCACCCCAGGTGTGGGTGGTCGTAGGATCAACGGGAACCTTGGTGGTGGTCGTGGTGGTCGTGGTCGACGAGGTCCAGTCCAACCACGGGGAGGAGATGGCAGAGCCAAAGGCAGAGCCGACGAGGGTAGCAACGACAGCAGTCTTCATCTTGATGAGTGTTCTGTAGAAACGAGTGACAGAAGTTGGGTTTTTTGCTAGGTTGAGCAAAGAGCAAGAGCAAGAGCAGCAAACGAGTGACTGGGGTGAACTTGACACGGCTTGAGGAAGAGAAGACAAGAAAGTGAAGAGGTCGTCGAAGAGATAGACGAGTTAAAGTACTTCGATGCGGCGAGCAAGCCATTTCCCAAAAGGGGGCGCCCGAGCAACCAGATGGCTGTGGAGCGCAGCGCCATTCATCTTTTGCCATCCAGCAAAAGTTCTCATGGCAATTTCGCAATGAAGTTGGAGTCGGCTATTCCACCGCCCCGATGGCACCAATCCTTCGTTAGGGCAAGAGACCAGGCAAAACCTTGACTCACAGAAACAAATGGCCTGCTGTCATAGGAGAAATCAGCCTTGGAGTCGGAGATGGTCGTGGATCAGTTGCAAGTGGACCGGGGGGGCCAGATTGATGAGAGAGAGATCAGCGTGTGGTGTGCTGTGTACCAAGTAGAGAGGTAAACAGAAGTCGATGAGACATGATTGGCGGGCTTGTATGATGGAGAAGCGACATGATTTCCTGAATACGAGGTGGTTTAATTCCGTACCTGCAGGCAGATCACAGCTGATTTGCCTGTTGTCGACGCTTGTGGAGACGAGCATAGCCCAAATCCATCCCCAACCGCCATGAAGCTTGTCACTAAGAGACCTTCACGAGGGGGTTTCCCTGGGTCTCCTGTCCCTTTCCTCTTCCATGGGAGCACCAGGAGCAATCTCTGGTCAAGGGGGGGCCCTCAATCCCATGCTTGGATTGGGCATCATCGAGCAGATTTCCCCCTGCGACCGTGGGGAAATGGGAAGCGAAGTGGAGAAACAAAGAAAGGCGGTTTGTATCGAAGCAAAACAAAGGCGAGAGGGCCGAAAGGGCCAAACGCGCGAATGGTAGAGAAAATGGATTAGTGACGTTGAAACCACGGCACCGGTCTTCAAAGGCGTTGCACTGCCAAGAAAACCGTTCTCCGCCACGAGGAGGTTGCAGCCTATGTGCGACAATCCCGAGATGAAGCTCAATTTGGCTTTGGTATCGATAGTGGATTTAAGGTTGTTAGACTCGTTTGAGATATATAAAGGAGACCAATCACGGGTGTTATCTGGAAGACTAATCACACTAACTGTAATTGATGGTCCTAGTCTCGCCAAGCATTTTGCTGATTCGGTATCACTTGCCTCGATTGTGATTTTCATTACCCCTGGACCCCATGTGGCCGCTGCTGATCTGCCCGGGTACGAGTACGACCGCCGGTGAGGATGCGAGTTTCAACGTCACGCCAGTCAACAGTCCGGAGTATAACCTGGTAACGGGCTTTGACAACGTGCCCTTCCATTCGATAGTAATCAGCCGAGCAGGGGGAGTACCGAGTACACCGCCTCGATGGAAAAAAAGGGGGATATTAGCCATGATCATACGAGGTATCGAGTACCGAGTATGCGAGTCACACCTCTTTTCCACCAGGTTCCAACACCAGCCTGTTTGCCTGTCGACATACCTACTGTGTATCCACCTGGGTACGAGTAATACCTCGTACTCGGTATACCTCTGTGTACTTGGTACATTGCGATCAAGTGCAAAGCAGTACAGTGGGAGTCGGACATAACAGTTTCTGCCTATCATAGACTTGAATACTACTATATCTCCGGGTTGTTGCTCCGATGCGAAAGGTGCAACTTGGCAAAACCGCTTTCCTTATTCATCCCAGAGTCCTGTCTTCAAGCACCCCTCTCTCTGGCTGACCGGTGGCTCCCAGAAATGCATCCTACCACAACAGGGACAGAGTATGAACCCTGTCGCTCGCCATAGCCTAACCAATTGACACTCTCGAACCACTCGCACAGGTGTCTTCCTGTGGCGCAGGGCTAGCTGATGACGTGATTTTGAGGCTGCCCCGGTGTCCGCCCACCCAACGCCTTCCCATTTCCCCCAGAGCCAGAGATTGAGAATTCAGTGTTGACGGAAAGGAAGAGGGGAGCCTGGGAGAGAGCCTGCAAGTATAATGCGAGGACCAATGTTGCACTTGGTTACAAGAGCTGTTACTTGTAAGGCCCTGCTTCGACATTACTACCATCACTCAAGGGTTTGCAGTCTGTACCTGATGATGATGATGACCTCCACCTCGTACTCTCGCGGGAAGTCGAAGACAAGCATATCAGAGGCTGGCTATCAGAATGGTTGGATTCAACCCTCGTATTTGGCGCAGCGGCCAAGAGGAAAGGTATGAGCTTGTCATTCACAAGCCACCCACCTCTGCACCACTGTCCTCGTTAGATTCGCGGATATTCAATATGTACCGAGTACGACTTGAGACGCTGACACTGCGTGGGCTGGTGGAATAGCCATGGAGCACACAGACTGACAAGATAGGAGTGAGTCCAGCTGGTAGGGACCGTGTTTTGTGCCCCCACAAATGAATACGAGAGGCAGGACCAGAACATCTCTCGTGTGTTTCTTACTGGTTCTTCAGACGCCTCTCCCTCATCTCATCCTTCTCACCACGTGCACAAAATGGTTTTGTTCGATTATGATCTCCATTTTCGCGATGGAATCCCTTTCTCCTCAAACCCTCACAATCCTGACAACGAGTGTTTTCCATCATGTCCGCACTCTTCCACACATATGCAGCTGTCTATAAAGCCCTCCTTTGCTCCAGATTTGTTTCAAAAGCACAATTCTTCATTCAATACGAGGTACATGTGATGTTCTGCATCGATTTGTCGGTGATCGACGATGGCGCTGATTGGGACCTGCCTGAAAGGGACTAGCTCTACACGTGATGATTAAAGCGCGGCATTTGCGCCGACAATGGCGGCATCTCGAGATTTCAGGTTTGACCGCCACCTCTATCTTGTGTACTGAGCCCTTACACTACTTGGGAACCTTTGGCGTTCTTTTCTTCTTGCTCATCATCCATTCTACTGCCGTTGTCATTCCAATGGGCCACGTCAAGCCGCCTAGACCCCCATCGTATCGACATACGTCCTCCAAAGCATGACCAGTGGGACTGGCCCTACAACTGACTGTCGCCAAACTCCGCATTCGTCGTCCACTTTCTACCGCAAATCTGCCGAAGATGGGTGATTCACGCCACTCAAGCAGTCGACGAGCCTCGTCCGTACACCGTGAAGATCTAGAGGCGACGGCACCTAACTTCCTTGATCGTACAGGATCGCAGGAGTTCAGCGTTGTTGAGAGTGTGGCCGTCCAGGAAGTATCGACCGAAGACGAGACCCCGGATGTGGCCCCGACAACATGGTCCAGATCGGTGAGGTATCTGGTCTTGCTTTGTGCCTTCTTGACCAGCCTGAGCTTCGGAGTAACACAGGTGCCGCTGTTATATGTCTTCAGGCTCATGACTTGTGATGCGTATTACAAAGACCATCCCTCGGGACTGTTGCACGGAGTTGAGCGATCGCCCACGGCAGGGACCTGGACATCGATCCTCTCTGCCGCAATGGTTCCATCAGGCTATTCCACCCGTCTAAACACCGGAGACGGCACTGACCGGTGTTCTATCCACCCAATTGAAAGCGCAACAGCACTATCGGTGTCCTTACTGGGAGCCAGCACCACCGTTTTTGGCACATTGAACCTCTTTCTGACAGGCACCTTGATCAAACGCATTGGTGTCAAACCAACATTGCTCACTCAGGTGTTCTTTCCTGCCCTCAGACTAATCATACAAATTGTGGGCGTCGAGGTCTGGGGCACCACTGGCATAATCATCATCCAATGTTCGCAGATCGTTACCATTGTGGGTGGGCCGAGTGGCTATATGCTAGCGCTGAACACCTTTATCACCGACGTCGTGGAACATGAAGGCCGGACAGCCGCGCTGGGGAGACTGACCGGGAGCATGATGTTCGGCTCTGCGTTGGGATTCTTGTTGGGTGGCGTGGTGGCTGAAGCGTTTGATATTAAAGCCCCCTTCCGTTTGACCTTGATGCTCTTTTTGACCTCTAGTGCCTACGTCTTTGCCTTCTTGCCACACATCCCGCCCCAGCCCAAAGACATCGACGCGGACCCGACCAAGGCCAGAAAAACAAAGATGACCTCGGCCTTCACCAAGTTCTTTGGCCCTTTGATGGTGTTTGCGCCCCGAAAGTTCATTACAAGGGATGGCATTGTCAGGACCGAGTACGGTGCATTCCTGCTTGCATGGGGAGTCTTTCTCGGAATTCTAGCCACAGGTAAGATTTTTTGGGTGTCAGAGGCAAAACCATCGCTAATTGGACACAAAGGATATCTGCCCACTTTGCTACAGCTGTATTCAACCGACGTCTTTGATTTTGGCACCCAGCAGAACGGTGGCCTCATTTTCATGTACTCCATGTTGAGGGGCGTATTCTTGACATTTGCATTTCCGAAATTTATTGCCCTCGGCAGGAGATGGACAATGAAGAGAGAGCAGCAGGATCTGGCAGATACCCAAGAGTCCAGGTCGTCAGAGCGCGCTCCTCTCTTGAGAGACACCCGACAGCAAGCGGGAAACGGCACGCACAGTCCAAAAGACAAAGAAACCCCAAAGGAGCAAACATTTGCGTTTGATTTGACGTACACGAGATTTTCGCTGGTTGCTGATGGACTTCTGACACTGCTTTGCTCCTTCGTTCGCGAAGGTTGGCAAATGTACCTTGTTGCAGTTGTTCTACCTTTTGCTGCTGGAACTGGCTCGGCCGCAAAAGGGACAGTCCTTCAAATGGTGGGAAGCTCTGCTACCAGCAGTGAGCGGACTGATGCTCTCGCCGGGGTATCGCTGGTCGAAAACATGGCTCGACTGTCGACAACGTTTGTCTTTGGTGTTATTTTTGCCGCGTTTGCCAGCATTGGAAGGACAGAGCTTGTTTTCACGTGCAACGCGGTTAGTGGTTGTGATTGACATTATAATATAAGTGACGGTGCTGACTCTACTTCTCAGGCTGTCGCGTTGATAGGTTTTGGAGTTTTGCTGTTTGCGCGCTTTCCACCCGAAGGGAGCCGCAGGCTTGATGAAAAGGACGACGTGAATCCAGCATTATGAAGGCTGGCATCAAAAGTAGGTCTACAGAAGTGACCTTCAGGCAGCAAGAGTCGACTTCAAGGACGAACTCCCTCACCACCCGCATTTGTTTCGAAGAACCACGGATGCTACAGCCTAGTATTTGACCAAGGGCGACCAGGAGGGACTTTTGCCTTGCCAAACACTCAATGATGGATATATCACTCATTATTTTACCTCGAAATTCTTTTCATCTAACCAGCTTTCACATCTCGTGGTTATTACCGATTCACTATACACCCTACGCGGTTACTGGCGGGTGGGCGGTTTCTTGACATCGTCTTTCACCAGTATCCGGATGGGTCCTTTGCGATACCTCGCCGTTACCACACGACACCTTCCTGTGACCCGCCATTCACAGCCTTGTCTGGATCAACCAGATGACACCATGCTTGAGGCCCGATAAAATGCCTATATATAAAGAGGAGGACCGAAACACCTGGAGAGCAGTAGCCAGATCGATCATCCAACAGCTGCTTTTCCACATCTCTTACAACACCTCTGACACCACTTCAGCAACACAAAATCTTGCTCAATCTACATGGCTCTACCGTGCGGCCTGATGTGGCTCTCTAGCCCTGCTGTTCTGGGAGCTTTTGTGTAAATTGCCTGAACCCGTCTTCCCGATCATTCTAACATCCTTTGTTTAGTCTGTGGGACTTTCTCGAGCACCGAATTTCGGAGAGAAATCGAACACGATACCGCGAATTCCCCTTGCCCCGTTCCGAAGAGCGTGCTTATAGTCCTTCCGACGTTAGCATCATCGTGCCCACCGTCGACACAGATCCGGCATTCTCTGATAGCCTCGGCGTCCTCCTCAGGAATGAACCACTCGAGATAATCATCATTACTACAGAAGAGGAGGCAGACAGGGTCCGCGCACTGATTCACGCCGCATCTGTAGACGCCAACATGGGACAGACCGAGCTCCGCATCCTTACCGTCTCCAAAGCGAACAAACGAGATCAGCTGCTCCGAGGCATCAACGAGAGTAAAGGAAGTATCATGGCATTGGTCGATGATGACACATTTTGGGAACGCGAGACTATTATTTTGCACCTGCTGGCGCCTTTTCAGCATGAAGACCACGTTCAGTCCGCAAGATTGGAAGGATCTGAGCCCATATCCCACGGTCGACGGCCCCTTGGAAAAGTTGGACATCCGGAAGAGAAAAGCCAATGCCGACCTCGAAAGACGACAAGGGAAATCCCCAAAACGCCGAGCTCCTCCTGATCCGGTGACGCCGGAAAAGGCCCCGCCCGTGAACGCCCCTTCTGCGGTGGTCCCCAAAACTCTCAACGATCCAGAATCAACTAGCTCAGAAAGTGACACCGAGAGTGACGAGGAGGAGGACGAGGAGGAGGACGACGAAGACGACGCGATGGAGGATGTGGTGGTCGAAGCTAGGAAGAAGGCCCCGCGCACCAAAGCCACGGCCGAGGACAAGGACCCGAAACCTACCACACCTAAGAGCTCCAAGAAGGCGAAAGGGTCGACCCAGGCCGACATAGAATCACAGAAAGAGACAGCCAGCACAGAAGACCCACCTGTGGTGGCGAGCGACGACGAGACAGCACCCCCAGACGACGCGGAAGGGGACGCCGATGACGAGGGAGAAGAAGAGGCGACGGAAGAGGCGAAAGGGAAGAAGACAAAGTCCGGCAAGGCGCAGGAAGATATTGGACTTGTTGGGGGCCCAATAACCTGAGTTGCCTTCCAAAGATCCATTCTCTGCCTATACAGTCTCGAGTGGGGGAAAGTCCACGCTGGCTTTCGGTTGCAGCAAGTTAATTTCGAATAATTCGCAGCTCGTACCTACCACTCAAGAGACAATACCCTGGCACCATCACGCCATGGGAGGTGGCAGCCATTCGTCTTCGTGGGAAGCGCCTCGGAGCATGAAAAGCGCATATGCTGTCGATGGTGGCATCAACTTTTGCGTCTCCGGCGTCACAGCGCTGCTCCGATCTGAGATCGCCCACGATCCGGCGTTCCTATCTGCCTTTGCAAACGACATGTGGATGGGCCAACGCCAGAACTCTGGTGACGACAGCTTCATCACGCGCTGGGTCCTTTTCCAACACTTGTTCAAGCCGCAGCGCCGCGACGGGGAGGAGGAGCCAGTTCAGTGGAAGCTGGGTATGCAGCTTACAGAAGGCGCCGAAGTTGGGACCTCCATCATGCCAGACTCACGGTTCGCGGGTCAGATGAAGCGGTGGTACCGGAGCGGCCTGCGACACCGACTGATGTGTCTCGTCTACGAACCTTGCTTCTGGGGCATGTACAAGACATGTCCGCACATGACGCGGAAGATGGTCGAGGGCATGCTCAACCCGGTGCTGCTGTGGGTGCGGCTCTACTGCTTCTGGAGAACATTCCACGTCTGTCCGTGGTTTGGCTGCTTCGTTCTCTCCATGAAGACATACAACTACCTGGACGGTTTGTTACAGTTTGCGACCGAATACCCCTTTGCGAGACGCCATCTGTGGGCTGCCGTGCTGGTCGACAGACTCTACCTCGTCTCGGACTGGTACTGCTGGGTGACATTGGGGACCGAAGCATGGATCACGCGGCAAGCGGTCGATCCGCCCGCTGCTGGGAGGAGTCATCGAGATTGTGTCAAGGGAGAATAGAGCCGTGCTCTGTCCACCGTCCACTGTCCGCTATCAGAGTTTGCATCAAGGATAGCTGGCTGTCTAGACAATGGAAGAAATAGTTAGTACAGTCCGACACTCTTGGTTATTATGGTGAACTTGATACGCAAGGCTGTTAGGGCTTGAGCGAGGGGCTGGCGCAATCAATAATTTATATTCGTAACCTGTCGCGGGGTTCGGTGATCAATTGACCGATGCCACTTAGACAGAAACCCCAACAATAGAAACACATCCCTCACCGTCTCTTCACCACTCAATCTTCCTCTCTTAGGTCTTTGAACTCCAAAACCGGGCGAGTTCTGAAGTACTACAGCATGGTGAACTGGATCCTCGGCGAGAAGTTCTACCAGCGGTACCCTCATCTGGATGGAGTCAAAGCTCTGTGGGAAACCAAGTGGAAGTTCCCCTGCTCGCTCGGGGTGTATCCTTTCCACGATGGCAAGCTCGAAGACTTCCAACCCATCTTCGAAAGCCTGATCAGAGACGACGTGAACGATGCGTACACAGACAAATATACCCAGTACTTTATGCCGACGGCCGAAAAACTCACCGACGCAGCCATGTCAGCCCAAGCCTCGGACAGAGCCAAAGCCGCCGCCCTGTTCAAGCGTGCCGCGTGTGTGTATCGAATATCTCGGTTCCCTTCTCTCGAGGCTGGTTCAGGACTAAAGAGAAGGGCATTTGAGCTACAAAAGCAGGTTTACTTGAGAGGTGCAAGCCTATGGGATGCTCCTATGAAAGAGGTCAAGATTCCCCATACTGCGGCAGATGGTGAGGACGGCAAGGAGATACCGCTGTTCGTTAGGCTGCCGCCAGGAGCAAATAGTGAGAAGAAATGCCCCGTAGTGCTGCTGATCACAGGATTGGACGGGCATCGACCAGACAACACAGAGGTAAGCACATCAGGCGCTCTGGTGTACTCATACGCACTCCGACTAACAGCATGGCCACAGCGAACTGACGAGTTTCTGGACCGTGGTTGGGGCTGTGTGATCACCGAAATCCCAGGAACAGCCGATTGCCCGGCAGCCCGTCGTGACCCAACGTCCCACGAACGATTGTTCACCTCGATTCTTGACTGGATGGACAAGCAGCCGTCGTTCAACATGCGGAAATGCATGGCCTGGGGTCTTTCTGCTGGGGGTTACTGTGCCATCCGGCTAGCACACACTCACCACTCGAGGCTTGCTGGGGTCATTGCCCAGGGCGCCGGGAGCCATCTGTTCCTAAGTCGGGAATGGCTTGAACACGTCGACGACCACGAATACCCGTTTGTGCTTAGCGAAGCATATGTTGCCAAGTACGGCTACCGGGACTGGGAAGAGATGAAGGACAGGGCTCAAAAGGACTTTAGTCTGGTCGAAAATGGGATTGTGAATGGGCCCTGCTGCAGACTGCTCCTGATCAACGGCACCCACGACGGGCTTGTTCCCATAGAGGACAACATCCTTCTCATGAACTACGGCCGCCCAAAAGAAGCCCGGTTCTATGACAAAATGCTGCACATGGGCTATCCACCGGCAAATGAAAGCATTTGGCCCTGGATGGAATCCATCATGGCCACCGCGTCATGAGCATCGTCTCGGCCTTGCATGTTCAATACCCTCGCGAAGTTATCAACTCCCAGCCTCTCGGAATGAATACCTTGCTGTCTTTGATATGCTTTACCGTCCATGGGGTGGTGTTGGCAGCATCAGCCTCTTTCCCGACAAAGCCTTTTAAAGAATCCATTTCATGGATTGCCAGATACTTTGGAGGCTCATCTTTTGTCAGAGCCGTCTTTGGGCCAATGACATACCTGGACGATCGTCGATATCCTGGCAACTTGTGAAGCATGTCGAGATGCTCTTCTCGGTACCATTTGTCGAAGTCGGGCTCATCCACTGGGTGCATCTCGACCGTCGCGCAAAACGGCGCGGGGACTTTATCCAGCGGCATCAGCAACAGTCGGCCTCTTCTGTAAGCGCCAGACACTCACCCTCACCCCGTCCGTCAGGGTCATAGTCCTGAATTAACTTATAATTCCTGATATTGAAGTTCCCTACTTCGGACGATGGCTTTTTGTCGGGCCACATGTCGCTGGTATGGCGCACACCGTTCAAGAACTCTTTGGAACTCAACGGGTCTTCAAGTTCGGTCTGGTATAACACCAAGAACTTGCGTGGCGATTTCTCTTTTGACCCAAGTGGAAAGTCGGCCTCGCGATACATGGCCGCGCGCACGGCAGTCTTGCTGTTGATCAAGTCGGGCAGCTGCCACCGATCAGCCTGGTCTACACGAGAAGGCACGGTCTAGATACGAACATGTTCATCGATATACCATTTTACCCAAAGGTCGTCATCAACCCCAGAATTTGGGAATGGTTGCGAGTTGACCCATAGAAGATATTGTAGGGGCATTTCTCGTCTGCTTCTCTTGTGTCGCGCAAGTGGGACGTTTGTTTTGGATCGATGCCTTTCGAGTGAGACGTTTAGCTGTTGCGATCTGGATCTTTGCCTTCTATGTTGTACATAAAGTGGTCCGCACTCGACCTTTATATCTCCCCGTATTTCACAACCTCCCTTCCCCGCACCCAAAGTTTCACGAGCTCATCCGAGGCTATCGGAACATTGGCCTTGACTGTTAGAGTATCCAGGGTGTTTATGGTTCGATCTGGGTCCTCAGTTAGTGGGGTTGGCCATTTCTTTCAGAGCAGGACATGCTTAACAAACATTTGGGGAAGGGTCACCAGGGTTATTTGGGGACGATCCGCCGTTCAGAGATTCGCGAATTCCACCGGAAGATTGACACCGAAGAAGATGCGGGATCGAACCAGCCTTGTGAGACGCATAGCCCAGACTAGATTCTGCCAGTGAGTATACATCGCCGACTGGTAGCAGAGCGATCATTAGGAACGTGTCAAGTACTACATTTGCAGCTGAATGGAATTCTTGTCTTGAGTTCCCTGCTTGATCCGTAACTCTCTTGGATTTTCGCGTCGTCTGGTGTTCTCTATGAGTCCTAAAATGGAGAAGGACCAGTCGTTGCCAGTCGCTTGCGAGTCCCTGCGCAGTTTTCTGCTCCACCTTCAATCTTACCCACATGTCCGCATATCCAGAGTCAACGCCCTCAACAACTACAGAGGACAAATACAATTCTAGCTCCACATCTCCCCCTGCCATCATCCAAACGCTGCCAGGATTAGCCATGGCTGGATTCAACTCTTCTAATGCCGCACCAGACGCCACCGTGACAACGGCGTTGAAGGCCTCGCTCGATGCCATCGACGCAGCCGATGCACCGCTGAGAGAACTCAATCGGGCCATCCACGACAACCCGGAATTGGCTTACAAGGAGTTCTTCGCCGTCAAGACCATCTCGGCCTTCCTGAAAAAGGAGGGGTTTGCCGTGACCGAGCAGACGTACGGCCTCGAGACATCCTTCACCAGTGAGGTCGGCCAGGGCGGTCCTCTGGTGATCATCTGCGCCGAGTACGACGCGCTGCCGGGCATCGGCCACGCGTGCGGCCACAATTTGATCGCCACGTCGTCGATCGCTGCGTTCCTGGGCGCCGCCACGGCTCTCAAGTCGAGCGGCATCCCGGGCCGGGTTCGCCTGCTGGGCACGCCGGCCGAGGAAGGCGGCGGGGGCAAATGCAAGTTGATCGACGCCGGGGCGTTTCGGGACAAGGACATCGGCGCGGCCATCATGGCACACCCGGTGACGGCCCACCAGTTCTCGGACGGGTACACGGGGCTGGCGGGGCTGAAGTTCATCGCCTCGCACAAGTTCCGCGTCGAGTACCGCGGCCAGCAGGCGCACGCGGCGGGCGAGCCGTGGAACGGCGTCAACGCGCTCGACGCCGCCATCACGACCTACAACAGCGTGTCGATGCTGCGCCAGCAGATGCGGCCCGACGAGCGCGTCCACGGCGTCATCGAGGACGGCGGCTCCGTCCCCAACGTCATCACCGCCTACGCCCGCATGAACTGGTACGTGCGGGCCCCGAACGTGGCGAGGGCCGACAAGCTGCTGGCAAAGGTGCACAAGTGCTGCGAAGCCGCCGCCGCCGCCACGGGCTGCGAGATCAATTTTATTACGTGAGTCCCAACGTCCTTGTCCCCTTATTCTCCCTCGTTCTACCCGCCAAAAAAAAAAAGAAAAAAAAATCCCTTGACGAGCGGGAGAGACTGAACAAAAGGGACGTTGTACGTGTACGTGTGATGATTCGGTGATTTAAACGTCGTCATGGCGCTTGACGGCCAACTCTACTCTACTCTCCTCTCCTCTCCTCTCCTCGTCTTCTTTGTCTACATATTTCTACAACTTATGATCTGACACATACCCCCCTTTTCCGCAGCGCCCCCACGTACAAGAACCTGAGGGTCAACCTGCCCCTATGCAAGCAATATGTCGAGGACATGGCGACGATAGGCGAGAAGATCATGGTCAAGAACGACGAGTCGTACACGGCATCGACGGACATGGGTAAGCAATAAGTTTACGAAACTCACCCCCTGCCCTTGCTTCCTCCTCTCCTCCTCCTCCTCCTCCTTCTTCTTTGTCGCTCTCCACAATCCGCCTTGTTTCGGAATCAAGTAACCAACCAACTGACCGACCGACCACCAGGGAACGTCTCGTTCGAAGTCCCCAGTTTTCACGGCACATTCCCCATCCCCACCGAGCCCAATGTCTCGATGCACCACCCGCGCTTTGCCGGGCACGCCGCGACAGACGACGCCCACCGCGCCGCCATAACTTGCGCAAAGGGCATGGCCATGCTGGCGCTGCGCGTGCTCACGGACCCGCGACTCGTCGAGGAGGCGTGGAAAGACTTTGAGAACTTTGATGACTGATTTTGATGTGACTCCATCAAGGAGGGAGTGTACAATGTTCTGTGGTGTACGTTGCCGTCGCGTCCTAGGTTTCCAGATTCTCTCTCTCTCTCACTTTCACTCTCTGTCTCTCTCTCACGTCCGCAGAGATCTCGGTATTTTCTGGCACAGGAAAAACAGCCGGCATCAGCCATGCTTGTCCATGTCCCTCACCTTCACCTTGAAGTTGAAGGGCTCGGTGATCGATCCGTATTTACTGGATCGAGTTATGGACCTCGATCTTGCTTTTCTCTCGGTCCCGTGAGAAGGCTTTCAGTTGGAGTCAAGTAAGGGATTATTTGGTCAGAAGAATAGATATGCACGCGTGTAAAACATGTAATCAAGCCAGTGCCCAGCCCAGGTGAGGATATCCCATCTCAGGTCTTGGTGTCACTGCTTCACCACCGTCATCCTCAATATATATTCTGGTCCCCCTCTCGCATAATTCTCAATGCGCAGAGTCAGGGCATTAACCGATCGCAGCATCACAATCCAGCTTTCTCAACCGGAGCCCAACATCCGCCGCCCCATGCTTCATGAGTATCCATACACCTGCATGGCGTACTTCCCAATCTCCCACCCTCGCTGCGCCCCGCCGATTTGCTGCATACAGTCTTCCAGCCACGCTACTTGTGGGCAGCCACCATTCTGGCGGAGCACAATGAGTGCCATGCGGATAGGAATGACCATTTGGATCCCATGGACCCAGGAGCCCGATGGCATCAAATAGACTGGTAGTATCCGACAGATATCGAGAGCTGCTTTTCGCGCTTGACATACGAGAGTTGAGTTGGACGTTCCGGAGAGTTCGTCATCCTGATGGCTTGTGAATTCGTCAGTCGGAAGGTCTGGTAGCCGACTAAGGTTCCCATCACGAACAGCACTAGGCTTTGTAGGAAGTGTTATTTCCACCTTCCGACGGGTCTTCCAAAGCTCCAAAAGTATGATCACCGTGGTCTGGTACATGGCAAATGTGTAGGCGATGTCGGTCATGTTGTCAAAGACTAATTTGGATGCAAAGCCAAACTTCTGCTGTTCGTTTTGTGACAGAGCGACCTCTTCAACTCGAGGCTTGACCTCACACTCCCACTTGATGTACCAGTCTCGTATACGTTGGAGAAGGTCGGCAAAATCCCTCTCGAGACCGAGGTTTAATTCAGCCTTTGCGCTCGCCTCTGTTGTTTTCAGGTAACGAATGAACTTCGTATACATGGCAGGAAGCTCGGAAGCGAGGTCAATCAGATACCCTACCGGATTCTTTGGTGTTTGGGAGAAAGTCCAGGGAATAGTCTTCCACTCTTCTGTGGCGAGACAAGTCGGGCAACGGGCTGCGATGGCAGCAAGAATCATGGAAAATCGATCGGTTTGGAACGCCCACATGGTATATGGCTGTTTGAAGATTTCAAAGCCTTGGAGTCGGAAGAATTCGGTCATTCCCAGCATATGCTGGACCCATGCAGTACCCGTGGTTGCGGTGAGATACTTTGATATCCAGTCAGCTCCTGCGGCCAGTTAAAGTGCGACTATGACACATACTTCGCAAAACGTGAGGATTGCTATTGAGAGGACAGTGTGGCCGGCTGACGATCTGTCAGGATGAGATAGGCGCTCGTTGAGTTCCCGAAGAGACCGAACATAGAGATTCATTCCTTCCCGTTGGGCCCGTTGGACGTTGACTCGCCGGCCGAAAAAAGACGCAGCGAATGACTTCATGCAACGTC